GAACTTGGCCAAGAGGGAATACTTGTGAATAAAATACCCAAAAAATATTTGAGTTATTGTAACCACAAGTTTACACGCGGGATGGACAAGCGCAAGCAGGCTTTTTCGACATATATACTTTTTCCATTCTAGCTAAGTAAAAAGTAATATTTTCTGGTATTATTGAGGATGGATATGATAAGAATTTAAAATCACTTTTTAATATTTTGTTCAACTCTATAGATGACAAAGAGCAAGTAAAAAGAGGCCAGAGGATACCCAAACTTGTTTCAATGGAACTACCGTAAAATCTCTATTAGAAGCCGCATCTCTAATAGAAGTCGCACCCATTTTTTTTTAACAATTGGGAACCAAAAATTCATTATTTCTCATATGTGTATATGCTCTAATAGAAGCCGCATCCCCTCTGTTGAATTGCACCCTTTTAATAGAAGCCGCAGCTTCAAATACAGATTTTACAGTAATGACTTTATTTTCTTCCCATAGCGTTAAAATCTATTCATTTTGAATTTAAAAGTTCATAACTCAAAAACAAGTCTGGGAAACCCAAAAGTTTAAGATTTGTTCAATTCATATACATGCTGCCAGATATGGTTTGTAAGGATTCTGCTTTATCTAGGCTTCTTCTATTACAATTTTGTAATTATTTTTACTTTGTACTATGAAATCATAGACGATTTGAGGAAAATAAAATCAGAAATATATTCCTCTTGGCTTACTAGCAGATGTGAGACAATCTTGTATCAAGGGTCAAAACACACCTTTCTATTTATTGAATTAAAATGAAAGGTCATCCCTGGAAAAGCCCTACAGTGAAATTTATTACAAATAAATGTTTTCTTGCAGTACTAACGAGTATCTGCACTCTACCAACAAGATGTGGGCGGTATTCTATTGTACAGCTGGTACCTCGAATTCGCTGTACTGCTGAGTAACATTTAACAATCGCTGTGGTTCGTATAACGCTCTTTTACGACACCATGCAGGAGTCAACCGAGTAACTTCATTTAGCTTGAAAAAAAATATCTAATTGTGTCAGGTGATTGAGTTCAGTACGGTCATATATCAGGTAACGTGCTGTTAGGGAATGTGCCATTAAATAGATCACACAATAACAATAAGGTACCTTCTGCGAAGCACTGTTTAAGTATAACCCTCAACGTTTAACTTCTAGAGACTTTAAAGAGGGCAATTTTATATTATAATAACTATGCTCATCTGTTCAACAATTTAAATGAAAAGGCACATTCATGTACTAATAGAAAGAACGGTATCTGTCCAACTGACCAATTATGACATGAAACTGACAATTCTATCTCTACAACGCCCACAGTCTTTTTTTATCTTATTCAAACAGGCAGTCAGCTTGGCGACGTTTTTTTTGTATAAACTGATAGATATCAAACGCAGTCCCTCTGTAGTCTATACAGGGACTGTGTCATAAACAATGAGTCTAAGTTTGAGTTGGATTTCCTGCTGAGCGCGCTCGCAGCTGAGTTAACACATCATGGTAGAAATATTATGTAACAAAACTTGTAGAATCACATTACAGTAACCAAGAATTTCAACAACAAAAATAGACAACACGACATAACGCGGTTTACTGCATTTTTGTTTTAATTTTCATCTGGGGAATGAATCTGTGGGACTAAAATCTAGTGAAGATAAAATTTCCCTATTATTGATTCAGGCGTCTGTGAAAATAAATTACATGCAACGCAAAGTACTTGTTGTTTGACAGTTACTGATAAAAGAAACTTACCATTGTAAAAATCCTGATGTACATGTACAACAACCAATCCAGGCCACAGTTCATCATCTATTAAATCATTATCAATGTGTTGGTGCTCAATAGAAGATGTTGTTGCCTTGGCAACTGGACCAAATGCTTCTTCATCTGCTACATCAGTAATCACCATAGCAGGAGAGGATTTTGCTACATTGTTTGTCATGACAACATCTTTGGCAGTTTCATAGATGATATTGTGTTCAACAGGATTAGAAATCATTTTCCCAACTTCTATTATTTGTTCTAAAGTATTAATGCCAATTGTCTGTTTTGGGCATTTACATAACGAGGACCTTCTCTCACTATCTATCGCCTGTACCCCGTTGCCACGAATGTCACCTGATGTGAGAGAATCCGCATCCTTTTCAAGATCACTCTGTACTTCGATTCCGGAGTCTTTATGAATGTAGCTTTTGGAAAATGTTACATTTGGTTTGGGTTTCATATTTTCTGGAGAGTTTGGTTCAGAGTCCGAGAAGAAAACTCCGTTTTGATTGTTTATGTTACGATGAACGTCGTCCTTAGATGGTTTGTAGTGACGGTCATTGTCACAAGTCATTGTCTTGCAATCATGGTCACCGTGGAGTTTTGGTAACCCCATTTCATCATTATCACATGCAATATCTTTTTCTGAAGCCAGTTTACTAGCGGTGTCGAGCGGTTGAAACCCGCTATCTAATGAATCTCTATCGTTGCACTTATCAACATACCCGCAAGTTCCACTGTCAGTCGAATTATTACAGGTCAAAATCGAAGATGAGAGCAAATCGTCGTTGTCAGATGACTGTGAATGTGAACTCTGTTTCGCATTCACAACTCCAACCTTTAATAATACAGCGTCATTTTTATGAAGATTTGTTCCGGTGTGCCTCACGGTTTCACCGGGAAGCTCCACTACCCTGTCTTCGTGTCTTCCCGAAGAAGACACACTACTGGCAGGAACAGATTGTCTTCGCGAAGGCGCTTCATTTCCAGGCTTGCTGGATAACGGCATAAAGGGAACAGCTGTTGCTGGCCCAACGGCGCTCGTGCTGGCAACTTCGTCAGATAAATTTTGTACCTTTCGTGAGTAAAACAACGACCCAATCGACCTAGTTCGGCGATTGCTACTCGTAGTTTTCGTATTGCTGAAGCGGGCATCGTCGCCTTCCGTCTCGCACAAGAATTCATGCTGGGTACTGTGTTCCGTAACGCTGACGGAAGGTCTCGCTCGTTTCAGGCGAGCGCTCATACCACATCCCATTGTAAATCCAAGTGTGGTAAATGACGATCTAGCGGATAATCTAAGTTCAGCATTCAGTAAACACTTGAAGACGTGACAGACTAGCAAAGAAAACACAGCAGACACACATCTACGGTGAACCGGAAGACGGTTGTTTCGTAACGAGCAGAAGAGTTTGGACTGAACCATTTTGGCATGGGGGTGATAATTATCTTGTTCAGAATAATGTTCCACATAATGCATACAGTCTTTGTGAACATTTTTTCTTCTACAGGATTACAATTTGTGTTTAAAACCTATGCTCTTCGGGACACTATCACATGTCACAGCCATTGCTTTAATTATAAATTTACGTCCATCACTATTATTCAGTAAATGAATTTCTTCTTTGCAGCTGTATGAGAATAATAAGTATTAGAATAAATGAGCTGACCCTCCATGTGTTTGTTTCCCGCGGTAAAAATATACCTTGTTGATCCCAGTGTCTTGGTAACCACGAAGCAAAACAAAGACCTCCCTTCATGAATAGTAAACATGACGTTGCAGCTAGGAGGTAAAGGTGAAACCTACTCAACCCTGCTCGTCTGTGGACGAACCAAGTCGTCGACAACGGTCTTCGGGAAGGGTTTTTTAGTCAAGCCGCCCACTAACTGGATTTTCCGGAGCGCCAATACACTGACTTATACCTCTGTGCGTCTACACACGGTTCGCTAGTATATTATTACAAGCATTGACCCAATGGACGGTTAGTACTTGCAAAATTACAATTCATTCCGCATTTAATTATTTAAAGTTTACGACAGTGACCATATGTTTATACGTACACTCGAGACCGACTCCTACATGTGCCATGGTTTCTTGTGACGAACCAATTAAACATTATCACGTTAAATTTCTATTTGGTGCGCTGACATTAACTCAATCTAATCTCATTGATTGAATTTAACCGGCATCTGTTATGTTGGAATAGTTAGCACTGTTTTAAAATATAAACATAATCCAAACTGCGAGAGTGAACGATTACGCAATACTATTGTTTCACACTTCGCTTGGTGCCGACATGCGTATTTGTCGCTGGTATTCACGGTGCCTCGATACGTGATCATTTTCATCGTAAATCGGGTCAGCGCATTTGATGCAGACTGTTTTGATAGCATTATTTATAACGCGTGCTACAGGCAATTGTCGTAAACGTGATGAACGAGACGATTTTTGGAGTCAGTGACGTTCAAAAGTCGAAATGTATTTGGAAGTTTTTAAATGCCATCATTGTTCCATATGTTCCGAGGAACCTAAGCTCACAACTTTATCATACGTGGGGAGGGGGCAACAAATTTACGATGTTTAGTTTGGACTTGTTTACTTTTTCAGGTTGCTTTACAACGGCTTCTAAAATCAACATTAAGTAGATGAGTTTTGATGGCATTGAATTTAAACATATGCTTGATTGCAGTGCTAAAGATGAATATAAAAGCAAATAGATTTTGTTGTCATATATCTATACACAGAGACTTGACATTGTTCGACATGCCATACTTTAGTGAAGCGGCGAGTAAGCGTCAAATTTTACAGAAAATGAATCCTTAATTTACATAATTATATGGAATATTTTACAACATAACAAATAATAATAGTCTTATAAATTCACAAAAACAAAAACTAAAAGATTCAGATTTTGTTGTACGTCTGTTGAAAACTTTAATTAATATATACTTAAAATAATTGGATTTATTATATTATTAAAGGTATGCATGTTTGTTATCACAGTGAATTATTTGTTATCAACTAAAAAGTGCATTTACATTAAATGGAAATAATCTACATCTTGGCACGGAGTGATGTTTAAAGTATTTAATTGAAATTTTATGTTTTATTCTGTTCAACGTAACTGTAGAATGCTTTATCTTTATGTGAAATTTAACTTTTGCTAATTTTGTGTAACAGGCAGTAAATCAGTGATATTGAATATCTGTAAAAATGACCCCTCCCCCCATGGTTGGCACATATTTTACTTTCAACCCAGTTTACAGTTTTCAGCCCAATTTACAATTTTCAAACCAATTCACAGTTTTCAGCCCAATTTATGGTTCTCAACACAATTAACATTTTTCAGACCAAATTACAATTCTCAACCCAGTTTTCAAACTAATTAACAGTTTTCACCCCAAATTGCAAAAACTGAGAAATAGACAACGTCTGTGTTTGTTTAGTGCCAAGAATACACCGTTACCTAAGTTTTTTTTCCTTTGACTATAATTGAAAATGGAATGTACCTACAGTAATTATTAAGTTATGTTAGACAAGTCAAGTAACCACACCATGGATCTGTTGTTCACTCACAAATATTTCTTTGCAGTTAAACATTAACAAACCGCTGTGGAAATACCTGCCGTTGTTGGGTATAACCTGATATTATTTCACATTGTACTAAAGTTACTGTAGGTATGAATGGGAGATAAAATGGTGTGAAAAAAAATATATATGCTTCCATGAACTATAATGCAATGAAATGCTTTTTGTTTATTAATTTTTTTTTTTTTATGTGAAATTCTTTTCTTTTTTTTAATAAATTTTACAATATTTTGGCATCCCCCAAATATGTTTTATATTAGATGATTAATTTCTTATTTTATTTTCTTGTACTGGATATGTGAATTGGCTTTGATTTTGGTGCAAAATGTGTGTGTTTGACCACAATTGGTTAAGAATATTATGATATAAGTGTTGGTAGTGATTAATAATGAAGCAATATTGACCTCTTATGGAGGGGTTATGAATTCATGCAGTCTCCCCCGCCAAATATGACTTAATTATTAAACAGCATAAATTTGAGTACATTCTTCCCAGACATGAGGTATTCTCTTTGTGGAAGTGGGTCTTATAAGATGAAGATGATAACAATTGTCAGTGCATGTAGTCGTGGCAACCACAGGCAATCAATAAAGTTCCCATACTGCTCACAGGCAATGTGTATATGTGCCTGCCGGTCAAATGTGTTGTGTATTCACACAAAAGTTGAACACATTCAACACATGTTGTTACGGCGACCAATCGCCCTTTAGGCAGTTTCTTATCAGTGTTATTCAATAATGAAACAAGTTGTCCTCTCTAATTGTTCTCTCATTGCTGATTTCTTAAATGAACATCTTGCAAAGCTTTCATTGTCACAGCAATTTATTGATAAACTTTGAAATAGTAAAAAAAATTCAATATTAATTTGCAATTCCAGTGATTTACTTCGTCTTCTTTAAATGTTATGCAGAAAGTTGGATTACATAATGTTATTAATAGGACAATTAAAAACTATTGTTTCATGTCAAAAATATTGAGCTTTCAAAACTACAGTCACTAGTGAAAACATGAAGAATTTCAAACAATCAAATTACAGAAAGTTGTACCTTACCTCATGAACATACTTATAGTCGTTTGTAAATACCAATCCTCAGCTTTCATTCAAATTTAAATATTGAATAATGATTGGCTCATGAAATTCAAATTGTCTACACTGATGATGTATGCACAAGCCTTAAAGTGACATAACAACTGTGACCACCCACTTATTCAAAATGAAGGACACGCTGATTGGATGATGTTGACTTTAAGTTAATATTAATATTAATTAGAACTTGCTATGATGTCACCATATCATTTCTGGATTGGTCAATTAGAATTCTGCCAGTCATTTTGATTTATAAAAAATTATGCTTTATGCCTTTCACTGTCTTTTTTCACTAAATTTTTATAAATTGTTTCCATAACCAGATACTAATATGCGCGGAGTTGCTGAAGACATGACTTTGGATGAAGCAGAGAAAATTAAAGAAAAAGAGGAATCTACGAAAGAAGATTCTGAGAAAACAGATGGTGACAAATTGAAAAAAAAGTATTCAAAGTTGAAGAAAAAATATGACCAATCAAAAAAAGAATTTGATACGCTAAAAGAAAAACACAGCATGGTACAGTCTGAACTCGAGGCACAGTCAGGAAAAATCACTGATCTGAACGTCACCATACAGAGACTGAAAGAGCAAATTGACGGAGGTGCATCAAAGTCAAGCAGTGGAACAGATTTGCGAGAGAAGGCGAAGCAAACAGACGGACTACAAATACAAGCAGAGTTTCTGACTCGACAGGTAGTTGACACACGGGAGAATGAAAGGTATCTACGGGAGCAGGTTTCTGAGGCGATGGAGGCTCGAGAAGAAAGCGAAAGGAAGATGAAGGATTTACAAGTTAGACTGAAACGATTTATCAAGGATGATCAGACAAAAGATGAGAGAATACTCAGGATGGAACTGGAGTTGAAAGAAATCACTCAACAAGTTGATGAACTTGAGAAATATGTTGACCAGGAACAACTGAAAAGGATACGGTCAGGCAGCCCAGTGTCCAATGGAGGACAAAAGTCAACTACATCTGAGAAGTCAAAAGAATTGAGTGAGAAACCATCTAGTTCTCAGCAATCCAAATCCTGCGAGATTCTGTAAATATGTAAAATTATATTTTATAAATAGATTTATTTTACACTACATTTCATGAACGTTATATAATTTATTATCTCTATAAATCTATGTTTCCAATCAACCATTCATGATTTTTAAAAAAAGCGCAGAGACGGTAAGGCAGGTGTGGTACCAATAACTTATTTTTGGCCAAATGTAAAAAAAATGGTGTGATATCAAACAAGAATCAAACTGACTCTAATATCCGTAATTTGTTAACAACATAAGGAAGACTGAAAACATCATTTAACGAAGTTTTGTTAACTGATCTGCTTGAAGCTAGATCAAAGAAAGTGATGTCTCATAAAGGGAAAAATATTAAAAATCTAACTTATCCTACCTTTTTTTAAAAGTACTATGCAATTTTTTTCTTTGGCCATATTGGCGTTATCAAAGGGCTTTTCTAGCCAATAATAACATTATTATTGGATTTAAATATAATGCCAAGGGTAAATATTTATAACTTGCTATGTTTATGAAAAGTATAGTATGAAGTTTAAAATCAATTTATTTACAGGAAGGAATGGCCGAATTTGTTGACAGAATATCAGGTACTTATAATGATAATACCATATCCACAGCTGGTGTACTACAAATAAGAAAAAAAAATGCCTTGTTTGAAATTGATCTTAAGAGCTGATGAATGTCTTGTTGGATAATTATCTAAAGCAGTCTTTGACGGGGGGGGGGGGGGTCTGATGTACATTTCATGTAGTTGCCAAGGTTTAATAATATACATATTGAGAACTTTGATGTATGACTTTGAAATGACCATCTATTGATTGTACTGTTCAAAACTGGGTATGTTCAGGTCCTAATGTCTACGTCTACTTGGAGTTGTGGATCATTAGTGAATATATAATGACCAATTAAATGTATACAAGGTAAGGGGTGTTCTCAAATTGGCAAAATTTTGAAAAAAATAAGGAAAGGTTATTTCATGTTCGATGATATACCCCTACAACCAAAGTGAAATATTTTTGATGGACTGAAAACGCAAAATTTTTTTTCAACTACAGAAAAAATGATGGTCGCCAGCTGGGCAAAATAGCCCCCTACAAATGGAATACCTTTTTTTTTTTCGCAAACTTTTGAGAACACCCCTAAGAAGGTAAGATAATTTGATCAGCATGAATGATTACTTTGTGCCAAAGTGGTTCATGAAGGTGCATAAAGACCTGAAAAATACTTTTCATGAGGTTTCCATGGAAACAAACAATGTAGTATAATGACGAATAAGAAAAAAAATAATGCTCACTATGGAAGTTGAAAATTATTTGCAAAAACTTAAAAGGATGATCAATAACAACATCTGTTGGCTGATTATTTTCATTTATTGTGACCTTTTAGGTCAATGTACTTGAATCATGTTCCAATGCGTACGAAAATTCTCTATGTGATTACTGTGCTGCAATTAATTCAGATTGACGATGAATAATGACATATATCCTGCTATGTGCTGATAATCATCTTCTCAGACATGATATATTCTAATTAACATGACAAATCTAATTACAATTTCTTCAGAGAGCAATAAAATCACAGTTTAATACCTAGTATTAGGCATGTTGTATTAAAAAGTGAGATTTCATTATATACGTAATTAATATCTATGTACTTGAATACAGTGCACAAGTCTGGTTTGGATTGTTAATAAAAACACAAAAAAGCCAAAGATAGTCCAATACATGTTTTGCTGCTTACCTATATAGTTGATTTACGCATTCCAAGGCTGTATGTGTAGTATGATTTATCTACCAAATATAATTCTTTGTGACAAAAATCTTCTGTCGAGTTGACTTTATCTTTATAAAAAATGGTTTAGCTACAATACAGTGTAATTATTAAAGACATCTTTGAAATATTACAAATTATACATAAAATATGCAAGATTTGATTATTAATGTTTGAACAAGGTTTTTAAATTGTAAATTTATTCTTGCCATAACTGTGTGGTTGTTGAATCTTATTAAAACCTGACTAGCAACATTTTTATACTCAAAATATTTGATATCCTGCAACAAATTGTGACATGAATTGCGCGCCCTTACTTTAATCTACTCTTGATTGCGTCTGTAATTCATTTTGAATAATTAAAGTTTTGCTGCTACTGGTAAACTATACTATTATAAACTGTAAAAATATAAAGACATTTATAAGTTTAATGATGATGTGTTTTTTGTGTGTTATTTTTAACTATGCAATACATCTGTGTAACTTGCTAAAATGTTATATATGCCACCGTAACCATGGTGACTATGCATGTAGCTACTTGAATCAAGTGTATTTGTTTACCTTTTTTTCAACTATACACATTCCATCAAAATAAATATTTTATTCTATTTATTTATATAATTGTAGATTTTCTGTCAGTTATACAAATATGTATATATATTTTTAAGCTGTATTAAATTAGTTATAGATGTGGATCACCATTGGGGTTGGGGATGAGGTAATATACAGTCACTTGCTGATGTATACTGCCTCATATTGAACAGTACATTCTTCTTCAGCTGAAAAAAAATGTCAACACATAATAATATTTTTAATAGATTTTTTTTCTAGTACAGACTAACTCCCAAAGTGGCCTCCATTGTTAGTATAAACAATTATACATTCTAGAAGATAATGTTCTCTAGTGTGGTTAGGTTACATCTATGTCTGTTATATATATATATATCTATATCTATGTATATCTATATCTATGTATATATATATATATATATATATATATATATATATATATATATATATATCTAGAGAGAGAGAGAGAGAGAGAGAAAGAGAGAGAGATTCTAAATTGACTCAATGGTATACTAGAAAAGAAACACAATCTCTTTACTATGAAGTACTGACTTGCAGACGCTCTTTTGTTAGTGGGGTCACTGACCTGTATATCCCTGGTGTTGGTTTTCAGCTACTCTTTAGTCAGCACAGGTGACAAGCTAACAAACAAATAATTTTATGCGAATTGTTTGTGCTTGTAGTTGAATTATGCATTTGTTTGAAATGGAAATTTTTGCATAATGTTGCTTGATTTGGGAATTTGAATGACACATTTTGTTGTAATGAAATTATAAATTGAAATGAAATTTTATATATACCTGAATACAGGTAGAAATTATAGAGTTATTTCTTTGTTTTCAAAAAAAGACTTGTACAGTTTTTGAATTGTATATCATGTTCTTGCAAAACATGATTTAGAAATGAAAAAAAAAACTTATGCACTGTTAATATGAATAAAAATTATATTTGTTTATCAAATATGTGACAGCTGTCTTATTTCTACCAATAAATGAATGGCTCTAATTACAGAATCACATCTTGTTCAGTACACCTTACAGTTCAGTCTGTATTTCAGAGTATAATCGTGATGGTTGTCAGGGCGACGCTACTCTGAATTGATATACACTTTTGGATTACAGAAAGTTTGCATTTGGACTGATAAAGTTGAAGATCTAGAAAATGAAAAATAAATACAAAAAAACAACATTTTATTCTCTTACATTTGTGGAGCTTTTCATCCGGCAGCCTTATGTTGTTTTCCTGGTCTACTCCTTTAAAATCCTATGCCATTATTAGCTCAAAACGATTGCCACAATCACCCCATCTTAGATGAATGTGTGTGTTGTATACCCCATGTGTTGATCATAATCCTGAAAAAGACAACCATCCAAAACACACAATTCTGTTTTAAATGTGAGTGACTGAATGAATACTACTACGTATACAGATGTCTTTTTAGTCTTCTTTACCGTACAAGTCATATTTCAGTATTATTATTCAAGAACTATTCTCATTGATTTTTTTTCAGATACAAGTAATGAAAGTAGACCAATTTCGAGACCGAATGTAGTCACATATAATCCCCATGCCAAAGTTGATGTCAAACTCCTAATATACATATTTTTATATTTAATCGTTATTTGATGAGAGTGATCTAATTAGCAAAATGCCTATGCTCTTTGCGACCCTCTAAAACTAATAAACAAAAGCAAAAGTGTTGAGGCAAAACAATAAATCATATCAAAAAATGCACAAGAGATTAAACAAACAAACAACTGTAAATTCAGTAATATTAAAAGGAGATTCTGAAGTCATAATCTTTAAAAAAAAAAAATGTTCATGACCAGTGACAACTATTCTGGCGCAAGCAGAACAGTCTTAGATATCGGTTTATACAAATGATTATTATCAAGAGAACACGTGTTACAGAAATACAGATCGGAACAACATTTAAAATGATTTTTCATATATGTTAATACCAGCCAATTCGTAATTTAGTGTAATAAATTGATTTGTGAAGGACATTTCTTTAGGAGGCTGAACAAGACAAGCCGCCCAAAATTAAACGCAGATTTCATCCGGTCTTCCTGCATTCTGTCCTCCCTTCTCTGGAGCTGTTATATGTTTTCTATGAGACATGTTCCACAGTACAGTTACCAAACATTATCGAGAGTAGTTTAAGGTAGAGATGCAATTTTAATTTGTGAATTTCAACCAAAAATAATTTATCTTCGGTAATATATAGGACGTATAAAATAGTTCTCTCATGGAAAGTGATAGAATATGTCTTATCCTATGAAGGATATCCAATTTGAAATTTTTGTTTATGCACTTAGTTACCATATATGACCTTTCCAAGATAAAGTATTATCGATGACAACTCTCAACACTTTCTCCCAGGATACATTAGATAATTGTTCAACGTTGTTTGCATCACGTGAAAATGCGTTTAACTTTTTACCCAACCTTGACGACAAAAAAAAAAAACCCGACTTATTCGATCTTTATTAAAAAATCATTTTTGGTCATATTATTATATATTTATGTACAGAAAAACAAAATACGATAATTTCACCGACCTGAACATGTGACATGGGTATATTTGGCTGCTGTATATCTACAGGTTTCAAGAATTGAAAGATCGCGAATTTCAATTTGCCAAGCATTGAAGCATAGATTGAAGTAGTCATGTCATCCGTATACATATCTAATGAACAGGTGATAGGAATTTAATTCAAATCATTCATAAATGGATGAATAACAGGAATAACAATGGATCGATTATGGACCCCGGGAAACACCATTATAATGCTTACACCACCCCGAATTTGACCTGTTGTGATCTGTTTTTCAAATATGACGGGAGCCACCTATTAAATGAAGTATGAGAGTATTGATAGCATCCAAGCTTTCGTAATAGAACCATATGATCAACAATTCAAGAACTTATGACGAACGAGCTTCCCCCTACTCCCCCATCCACATAAGACCATTACTGCAACGGCTGGCTCCGTGATCACATTGACGTCATAATGAGAAACGGTACACATCGAGACCGTCGTGCCAGAAACACAAAACCTTTTGATAAATATTTTCCTCCTTTGAAATCTTTTGTGATCTACTACACAGTTTGTCTTGCCAAGAAATAACTCTAGGATTAACAAAACCGATCCTACAGTCAGTGTGGTAACTCAAGGGTCCGCAAATATATTCTATTATGACTTGAGAGGAACCATTGTTGTTTTTGTTTAATTTCTTCCAATACAGCGGAATATAGCTAGCCCTAGTTTGCAATCACACACGGCTTGGCGATCGGTCATTTCTATAGCATATATGTAGTCCGTTCTCTTTGAAAATCAGGACACCCCAACCCCCACTTTTTACTTAGTAAATACGCGTATCTGTGTGAATTAAGCTTGGATTTTATGTCTCACCACACGATTTTCTAGTAAGCGTTGCTTCGGAAAGTCTTACAAACCCAATATTGGTCCACTAATGTACCATCAAATGAACTACTAGTAAAGCCCAAACCAAAATAATTCTTAAATATTAAGAGCAAACGAGTTATTACGAATTAAAACGCTGAAAAGATAAAAGTTAAAACATCGTCATTTCCTAAGCTGTGGTAGTTAGGGCCACACAAAAAAAAACACATTAAAACACATTTTGTGTTTTATCATTTATCTTGAAAAAGTTGTTGTATTTTCTCTTTGAAAATATGAATACTGAAATATTAATAATTTATTAAATTCTAAGGCAAATAAAAACCATATACAAACACGTAACGTATTGTGTAATAACAAACAACGGCATTGGATGAGATGTATTGAAGTAGACACAGAGTGACATGAAACAACAAGATTGAACTAAATGACAAGTTGAAGATGTCTCATTTAAATTACAGATATTTAAAAACTTGAATCTGAGTAAATGTAACTGTTGTAAAGTTGACATAAAAGCAGTATAATGTAGATTATTCTCAATATGGTGAACAAGTGTGTACAACTATTTTAACGGTTGTTAAGAGTTCATAGGTGCAAAGTAGGCGCTGTTTAGCGATTTGTATTACAACAACGCTCTTTATTGTTGAAATAATAATAATTTAATTTACTAACTTATATCTACAATTTTACAATTGAACTGATCATTAGCGCAATACAACATATTAAAACAAAGATAAAGACAAGTGTCAACACTCATGACAATAATAACAATGAAATATATATAATAGACATTATTACGTCAAATATGTTTGTTTCGAGCAGATACGTTTTAAGCAGAGTCTCAGAGCAGTATGTGATGTTATGTGGTGAATCTTTCCATGAACGGAGCAGCACAACAGAAGATGCATAATCTCGCCAAGTTACCAAATTTGCCCTTGGTACGATTTGTAGCTTACGCAATGATTGCAGACACGTTTATTCAAAGAAGGCCGATCTGAAAAAACTACAGATGATAACCAATACAGTTATTATGTATTAAACTGTAATTGGAAAATCAGTCAATGCAATGCAACTTTCCTTTCTATGCTTATCAAATAAAATATTACTTCCGGCCACAAGAGGGCGCTCGTTCATTCCAAATAAACACGCCTGTTATCAGACATTATCAATATTATTGGTAAGACATTCTAAATCCCTTATAAAATAAATTGCAATTCCGTGTAAGATAAAAAAAAAAGTGCATGTTCATTAGCCAGGACACATTATTATACTACACCGACGTTACTCGCATTAATGTCCCTAAGTCAATGTCGATATTGATGAAACAGTTTAATGAACACGTGGTTTGAGTCGTCCTCGTTTCAAAACGTTAATTAGCACAATATGTTCTGATAATATGAAAATTAGCAGACATTACAAGTTTATTTCAACTAATAGATTAGGACTCTATTATAATATATTTGGGATATCTAATATAATGGGACTGCAACGAGTTTTGATAATAATGCAAATTGGAACTCTTTCCTAAATTTCAGATTTCTGGCTTCTCCAACGTTTCCAGGCTGTATGGCTTATATGCACAATTTATGTGTGTAGTTTCTTGTTAGCAGAAACATTCATATATATACAATCACCTCACATACATAATACGAACGAATAATTATTGACAATCGACAAAGCTATCGGATTCACGAGCGAGCCACTGCAGGCGACAATCAGTGCAGATGACACTGGACTCCAGACATTCATTTGTAGGTGTCGTTTGCGTAACTCTGAAAAAATGATGTTCTTATGTATGTTCTCGTTGCTCGTAGAGCATATTTATATTTCTGCCAACTTAGCTGACAGTAACTTGGAGTTGTCCCCGGTGTGTGCTATTCTCGTTTGTGCGTGCCGGTACTTCTGTACGCAAAACACGCAGTATATTGTTCAAACCATTCTATTGTGGCGTCATTTGCGAATATTGATCAGATATATGCAAATGTAAAAGTACAGATTGTTTTGTGTTTGTTGCTTTTTAATCCAGCTACAACAAACTTCGACGTGTTACTGTCACCGTCTGCATTAGACGTGTCCCGGGTACGTATAGGCATCTGTAATGACTCACAGGTAAATAGCTGTGTGTGGTTCGTGATTGCGAATGCGTAGTGTTTGAACGGTGACAATTCCACCAGTAGGATGCCACAGTAGGATGCCACTGAATATGACAGTCACTCCTGCAGTGTAGAAGGAAACGTCGTAACTTCCGGTGAAACCACGAATATACCCTGAAAGAAGAGTTAAATAAGGTCAGACTAAGTTTTAACTATAAAATGTTATTACATTGCCATTTGGTAGAGAGAGGGCCACACAACCCTGTCACGTAGTCCCCAAAATAATAAGGCTTCTGTGGCAAAAACATCAGCACTTGCACTTGCAATTTGCACATAAAAAGTCGAAAGAGACAACAGTGACATTCAACGTCCGGAACTATCAACTGGCACAAAAACTGTTTTGAAAAAAAAAGCTCCACCTAGGTCAATACCGAAACTTGTAACAGGTGGTCTTCTCATTATGTATTATTATATTATTATTTTACTTATCACGCAATGAAATTACGGGTAGAGGTGAATGAATTGTCACATGTTTAAAAACTTAAGTTTGTAAAGTACTTGTGTAAATATTATGGGCCAATGCCTTTCTGATATTAAAAAAAGACCAATATTATGACTAACTGTGCGAAAACCGAGCGCGGGCTGATTGACTCGAGAGGGCGCCGCTGCCTCGGTGATTACTGCATACAACGCCCCTTTTACAAATAAATGACATCATTTCAGCGATTTCTTTACAAAATAATTCTCAACGAAACATTACATAGAAATATACAGGTCCTATAATAGTGTCTATTGCAAAATAACCCTGTGGTTACTTTCAGCAGTTTGCCGGAGTCTAGTCAAAAACGTGTCTCAACTTGAATAACATGTTTACATCAGTTTTTGATTATTTTTTCAGCTCGTACTGATAGATTCAGTTAATTTACAACAACCATGTTGGCTATCGGAAATCAGTTTTACTGAAAAAACGGGTTTATTAATTAATGCAAACGAGACGATTTGTTTCAGCCAATCGTGTCATTACCATACGCAACTAACCTAGGAAAATGTCAAGTTGGTTCGGATGCCGTGGGAACATTATATTTCAACAACATTCGTAATATTGCCGACTATTTAACTTTAATAATGGGACTCTTTGTCTTGTACGCCAACCTGGGGGTCGTTCACCAGACCTGCACAACGCCGATGAATAAATTTAAATTAAACTTACCCGAAAGTACCCCTCCCACCATCTGACCAATCCCACCAAATAAAAGCCACCAGCCGAAAACATTCGTCATAGCGCCGTCACCGACGACTGCCCTGATATAAACCGAAGTTTGTGACGATATCCCGCCTCTTACAAACCCAATAATCACCATAGTTACCGATATTGCGGCCAAATGCGCCATAAATGGAACCATGAACATGACCACTCCAAACAGACATAACATACACGAATAGCAGTGCACAATTTTCAAACGATTGCGGGTGATTATAAACCCCCACATCAGAGATCCTACAAATGTTCCGATGCCTTGAAGAGACAGCACGAAGGCAGTTTTACTTCCGTGGGAACCGAACGAGTCGATCATTGGAGCAAGGTGTATAAACGATACGGCCATGCCGATGTTTTGTATTGTCGACACAAGCATGCATATCACGAAAACGACATCGCTGAAAAGATTGATGTCAAATAGATATCCCATTGAACCAAAACAACGGCATACTAGTAGTTTTGATGTAGTTCTTGATTCGTGCGTGTTTTTATCCGCCCCGCTTCGCATGTAACGTGGATCATCTGTACTTTCCAATGCTTCCGAATGTTCGGTATCGGTCATCATCATCATAGCGTCCAATTCCGTGGCACTTGCCGGACTTCTGACAGGCCTGAGTAGAGATGCGCTGACAAAAATGATCGCCGACATGCCGGCGAGTATCAACAACGCACCCCGCCATCCACGTCTTTCAATACACAACTGCATGACAGGGGGAAGTGATAATATACCTAATCCAACCCCACTGTAAGCCAATCCACTGGTAAGGGCGTGACGTTTGTTGAAGTAACAGCCAATGAAGGATGTTGCCGGTGTGAATAACGCATATCCTGTTCCTGTAATTCACAGACATAATGCACGTATAAGTTAATATACTATAAATTTGCCGAGTTGTGCTGGGCAGGGACATGTGTACTTAGAGAAAAGTTGACCAATGTTGGACTACTGTAGCCTTACGGTGAAAAGCGGAAAGGTGTGCCTTAGTTTATATATACACTTTTATAACAATTTGTCAATACCGATCATCAGCTTTCATTCAAATTCAAATAAATTATGTAATAATGATTGGCTCGAGAGCTCCACGTTGTATCCCGGTGACTAAATTAGAACTTCATCGTACGTGTCTGTGCTGGATCTCTACTAGTCAACCTTGAAATACACTTTCACCAACTTACCGTTAAAAATCCAAGCAAGATAGCTAACTGCCAAATACTCGTAGCAAATGAAATGAGGCTGAGAGAAACAACGCAGATGGCAGCCCCAACCATTACTACTTTTCGATGACCAAATCTCTCGGCAAGAGCCGATGCAAACGGTCCTGTAAAACACTCAAAAATTATTCATACAAAATATACATGTATATCATATAATGTCATATCATTAAAGGGCGGTGGTCGTCGCACCACACATGCGTGACATATGGGTCTTATGTAAACAGAGAAATAAGATAATTTCTTTTGTGATTGGTAAGGTAAAGAAGGAGACACCGGAGGTAATGATTATTGCTAGTTACGTTCAGGTCAATACTCAAAAGAGTGCATTGGATTGTGGCATAAAATCAATGTTTATCAGCAACCAACTCATGCTGAGAGTTAGCGTATGAATCCATGACGTCACACCAGCACTTCCCTCAAAGTGTTCGATAAATGCTATGTAAAACAACCCCATCGATACTACCGTCCCTCTTCCAAAAAACAAGTTTATAAACACGGATAATACGATAAACCAACCCCAGCCGCCATCGGGGATATTTTTACCTTGCGAGGAGTCTGCCTGCCACTTTCTCGGGGGGTTGGCATTTTGTTGATTTGACAAGTCTGCAAAATAATTACAAACAAATCAGATGCATATATATTATTATTATGGTCTACACCCCCTGTTACGGTAAAGCGCCGGGAACTTTGATGTAAAAAGTACTGAAATAAAGCACAAGTCTAGATGTGATAGCGCCCTCAACACAGTTGGGTCACTTAGTAGAATATATGTCAAACCATGGAGTCTTTTGAGCTACGCTGTCAAACGTGCCAGTCTTACCATGAAAGTAAAAACTATGATTTTTAAATCGATAATGTGGTAAATTCTGGTGGTCATAAGAAATCAAATGTTATTTAAGTAGAGAAAGTATACGCCTGGAAACGTAACGCTCAAACCACAAATTGTGAAACAGACAAAGTGTCAATGTTAACAAGTCATAGAAAGTTTCATCGAGAGGTGAAGGCCACGTTCTTTCAAAGCAAAGTTATTTCTCTGATGGTCTGATGTATTAACGGCTGGACATTCGACATTGACAATGACCCGAGGCACCATCGCAATGAATGCATGAATATGATGGAAAACATACACAATGAGATTATAGTCGTTGCCGCAACCAGCACGGGAGTATGAATTTGAATGTGGAATTGAACATAGATGTTGTTTACCTGTCCGTGTGAGACGGGATGAGGAGATTTAAGCATTTATATACTCCGGAACTAGGTGGGGCTAAAATCTCATAGTTTTCAGGAACTAAAATCAACTGTACACCCAGCCTGTATGTTCGCCAAATCTGTGATAGTGATAGGGGTGGACATCGGCTGGTATCTCGTGTATAAAAATAGACAAGGAACGAAGACAAAAATAGCTGAATGAATAGTAAAAACATGACTTTAATTACGAACTCATCAGTGTGTGCGGTTTTACCGGCACAGTTGGAGGAGTGGCTTATTTATAATTTTGTCAAGTAGCAACCATGCACCAGACTGTTTACGAACCAGAGCGCGAAGCGAACTGATTTGTAACCCCACTTTGGTTTGGACGACCAGTTAATTGTTTCCCCCCACTAATTGGGGATTCAATTATCTGGAATGAAGGTCGCGAATTATATTACGTATTTGAATGACACTTCGTGTGTGTGTACTTCTACAAGTAGGATTGACATAATGGACGTAGACACTCCCTAAAATATTCAAACTGAAGATTTGAACCACTGTAGTATCATGTTATTCTTATATCTCAAGTATGGTACTATGATAGGGATTTGTGAGGATGTACCTGCAAACACGGTTGCTATAATCATGCAAAGTATTCCCCCAAAAATGTTCAAATGGAAGACTTTTGCCAATGTACCTTTATTACCAGTATGAATATGAGTACGCTGCAGTATCATATCGTTCACAAGATATAGCAGTGTATGGGTGTTTGCGGAAAATAAATAGGCGATTTTCCGTTCAACTGCGAGATCTCGCGGGATGCATGAAAGACGCACGTTGAACGTCTGCCGCAAAAATCGAACGATTTTATTTTGAACTCGAATTTCTTTATTTCGTAGCTCACATCGACCGGCCGATCTTCGACAGAGGAATATTAATTTCGAATACCCTCATCAAATTGTCTATCATCAAATGTGTACAGCACATTATTGAGCATGGAAATGCCCCCAAAATATTTTCGCGTTTGTCGAATCCCACGCGATGTTTGACGCCACTACGACGCTATGACCTTTGTTTGTCCTGTTTTTACGTTCGATTTCACGCATAACGCATGCTTCTCGCAGTGAACGGAAAATGGTCTATTGTGTGAAGTATACGTCCATTAGATGTCATTAGTGGTAGATTCGTAACTATCTTAGCAGCAGTGAAAATAATTAAAATGTAATACCTACGCCGACCTTTGCAATACACATAAATACTGTAAACCAGGTTTGTAGCGAACATGCTCTGAGAAAATTAACATAATAGTTCGTGCTTGCAATGTACAAGTTTTAAGAAAATTAATATGTATACATCTGCAATGTACAAGTGAATATGAATACGCCGTGTTTGTAACTTACCCAATCAGTCGAAATAGACTGAAAGTACTAGTTCTGAGGAAATAAAAATAAATTACGCCATCACTGTACTTAT